TGATAGAGAAGAATGCAAGAACATGATTCATATAGCCGACTCCAAATAATTGAGATAATGCTTGGATGATGATGATGCACCTTAACATGTAAGAATAGAGGTTCACTAAGGGAAGGTTTTAAGAAAATAGAAATCGAAATACCAATCCCCAAATTCATTGCCCATCCTATTTCTAATATCATCAATGGTGGGACTAATAGGTTGATGTGGTTTACTTCTTCTACTTATGCTTTAGAATCTCAAAGTATTCTTCCACAATTATTTCTTCTTATTGAAAATTCATTATTTCGTGATGCAATTGGTAAATCCATATCATTTCGTTATGAATATATCTTGTCTAATGCCTCTCAGTATCTCTTACAGTCCTAAGAAACAGAAGCCTCCTGCTGATGCTCGGCTGCATAGAATGAAAGAGCCATTCAATTACTGTTAAGTTCTCACTTTTCCTAAGCCATGCAATTTGTGGGAAGTTCTTTCACTTTTCCTGTGATATAACCCAATTTTCTCCGGCTTCCCATGAATATATTGGTAGATTGGGACCATTTTAAGTAGTTTGTCTCAGCTAGCTTCAATGTAGTTATCGTCGATCCTGAGTGGTCAATTGACTACATTCCAAGGAAATATTGAGTTTGATTACTGAAATTTCTTCTCTCTCTCTCTCTCGAACTAGAAACATTTTTTTTTTTTTTTTTCGAGGTACTAATTCCTTTGTTACAAATGTGATGTTGTTGGAAATATGACATTAGTAGAAATATGAAGTTGCTGAAAATGAAGAGTTTGGGATTAAAAACTGACTTATTGGTAAAGGAAAGAGAGATTATCTTGTTGGAAATACAATGTTGTTGATACACCATAACTTCAAGCACAAGAAGAAAGAAAAATCATGGTTTTAAGGTCACTGAAAGTAAAGAATATCCTCGGTTTTCAAGCTCTGCTCTGATGTCATATTAAGATTGAGAGAGAAGAGAGAGAAATTAACATTTAAGCACAATATAAAGAAATTATAGATGCATGTTTTACTCAATACAAAACAAGGGGCAATGAGCCCTATATTTACATATCCCTATAGGAGTTATAATATAGATCGATTCACATGCATAGGAGCTACAACCATCATGCATGACTGTTATATGATTGTTACAAAAAGAAATACCCTATAATTGTTACAACAAATATGATGGGATATTATACACATTGTCGCCATGTGTAAGTTTCCATTATGAGTATCATCATTCGAGCTTTATTCCAAGTATTTGAAGTTAGCTACAAAGTTTATGTTATAGACATGAGGCTCATAATAACTATCGTAGGTTTATGTCATGGACGTAGGGCCCATAACAATCACTACAAACTCAAATTTCTCACTCATATACACAAAAACTTGAGCAAGCTCATGCATATACCTTTACATTCATGACATGCTGACATTCTAGCGGCACCAGATATTTTGATTGAGATTCTGCTACCAATGATGATGCTAAAGTATCTAAAATTCCATATAGTCTCATTTTTAGCCTATGTTAAAATTAGATTAAATCTTCTTTCCCATGATGCGGTACATGTTATATGACCATCTTGGAGATAATGAGAAAAACACTATCAGGATATGTTCGTAAACGTGCAGAATATTAATAATAAATGCATTAATCACATGTGAAAGCAATGGCAGGTGGTCGAGGCACACTAATTCTGAATGACAGCCGAACATAGTGGATTAGTCACACCCTGTGATCCGTAAAGTAAGCAAGGGGATCAGATTTTGTGCGGTGTAGTGGAAGAAGTAATTTTTTTTCAGAGTACTACCCTTCCCCATGAAATAAAGAGAGAAAGAGTAGCAGGAATGTTACATGTTCTTGTAGACCATTACATTGTAAATGAGGAGGATGCATCATCTGTACTAACTAGTTGAACTATTGTTGTTTGATTACCCATAGGAATATGCTTGGCAGGGTGTGAGTAGGTGCTATTAATATATGCTAAGAGGACCATACCAAGCAAGTATGCAAAGGAGCTTCTAAACATAGAGATCTAGCCAGAGGCAGAGCAACAGAGGGTGCTGGTTGAGAGTTTATTGTCGTCGTTGAGGAGTTAGGGGGACTAAGATTGCCCCTTTTTTTTTTCCAAAAAAAAAAAATTTGACCAAAAGAAGGGCTGCTATTCCTCAAAGAGTCAGATGCTCAGCTTAACAAGTTTGTCACAAAATAATGCATCCTGAAGCATGATTTTCTTATGGTTTTATATTTATGTGGTCTGGTGATACAATTATCAATGGCACCGATTAAAACCAGACTTTGTTATTATTTTAGTGATAAGGTTTTTAGAAGGCCTAGGCTTTATGAAAACAAAATAGACCGTCACCTCAAATCCTTGTCCAAAAAGCACTTTCAGCCATAGAAATCTCCATGATGGCTCTAAACTCAATTTCCAATACCAACAATAAAATTCAAAACTCAAAAAATGGTACAAATCTTACGGATCTTTGAACACTTATTTTTAGGGTGAAATGGATGATCATTATAATTTGTTACAATATACACTATTTTTAGAGTTTGAAATCTTTTTTTTTTTTCACAGCCATAATATTCAAGCGCAGATGATTGATGAATAGATTTTATTTTTTTTTAATAATGTTCAAGGTTGGGTAGGTCATGTGATAGTTACAAAACTCAAAATCTTGAAGGAAAGGCTGAAAGTATGGGGAAATAGAGGTTTGGAAATATAAGCAATGAAATTCAAGCAGTTACAAGAAATATTGAAAATCTGTATCAAATAGAGCAAATTAAAGGTGGTCTTTGATGTAAAGGTTTTTTAATACTTGAATTGCAATTTTCGATGAATTATGCGGTGAGGCTTTACTTGTTTTGATTGAGCTGCAGCCTTATCAAACCATTTTCCTTACTTTAGACATGTAAACCATTCACTAGAGCATCCACAATTTATTACAGGCACAGGTTCAGCAAATTCGAACCCCCAAGTGGACCCCTAAACAACATTTGCCTCATACTACAAAAGGGTGAAATTTGCATAAGGTGTCCACCTTACTTAATCCAAAAGGCGTGCCTCCAAATTATGCCAAAAAATATAGGTCTAGTGCTGGAAACCCCTATGAGGTCCTAAATATTTATTATTGTCCTTAACCAGGAAATTTAAAGATAAAAAATAGTGCATATCAAGTACATTTATACCAACTTGAAAATATTGAAAATGGATTGTCCAAATATTGAAAATGGATTGTCCAAATATTGAAAATGGATTGTCCAAATTTTTCAAGACTCGAAAACAATTTTTTAATATCCATACATCTTGAGATTAAGATGATGATTTAAAAGGGTTTGCACTCTTGGAACAATATTTTTTTGTGGGTTCTCTGAGGTGTGCCTTACTTCTACATTACAAGGTTGACACCTTATATAAACTATGTGGTTTTAGGAAACTAGACAATGTCACCTTGCAACAATAGGAATGCAAAACCTTGCATAATGGTATAGAATTCTTTAGCCGGAATCTAGTCCAGTTTATGCACAAATTCATTGGAAATGACATACCAAACACCAAAACGAAAGTACTGGAAATGACATTAGAGGTTACTGTAACATGAGTTCCAACTAAACCAATTGATTTCATGTAAATCAATGGACACATAGAATTTCATGTGGCATTGCTTTAGAATCACACATAGTCTCTCTGAAAAAAATATTTCTTTGTATGCACAAAAGGGTTCCCTGTTTTTGTAGAATGGTTTCAAAGCAAACATATGCCAACAGAGTAATTTAAGTGCGGCTTACCCATCCAACCTCATCCTTTTGTTCTCAGCCTTCTTACCTTACCATGTATTGGACTGTATAACATAACTAGTGAAGCCTTAGCATCTCCAGTACTGCACCCAGCTTTAGAGCAAATTTGTTATCTTTGTTTGTTTATCTAAACCAGCAGAAACATCTTGTATTTTCGCTTAGAAATTGAATGTGGTTTATTTGAGCAAATTGCATTTATTCAATATTATTCTGCTTGATCAGCCAAAATCAAAAAATTCAAGCCAAGGCCACATCGAGCCAAATCATGATGAATATTTGCCAAAAACATGTTCAGGGGCCTACTTTTTCATTGTTTCAGGCTTCTTTTTCATCTTGGGGTGACCAAGATTCAAACCTAATACCAACAGCCACGAAGTGAATGGGAAATCAAAATAGAATTGTTTTTCTGTCTGTGTTCCTTTTTCATATCACACGTAACAAAAAAGATGTAAAAAAGTGAATCCGATAATATTGCCTTGAAAATTTTTGAATCAAATACAACTTAGGTGTGGCTTCAATAGGCAATAAGATAAAAAAAAGTAGACTTAGGTGGGTTGGCGATGTGCAGTGTAGACTTACTACAACATCGCTTAGAAAGTGTGATTTAGTTCAATTGAAAATCTCTAAAAGGGCAAGGGAAAAGCCTAAAAGAACATAGATAGAAGTAGTGAAAAACGATATGATAACTTTTAGTCTTATTGAAGGTATGGCCCTTGATAGAGAAAAATGTAAGAACAGGATTCATGCAGCCGATCCCAAATAATTTGGACAAGGCTTGAATGATGATGATGTTGTAGCTTAACATCTAAGAGGGTATTAGAGTCAGATCAGATCTTCTATGAACTATTCAGGTTAAAGACAAATGATTCATGGAGATAATGTCATTTAAATAGAGGGTGCACAGTTTAGACGCCACCAAATGAAAATTAACCCAAGTCATTCATAGCATGTTCATAGTTTAAATCATTTAACCAAGAATTAATAGAAAAAGTCGTGAACTAGGAAAAGGAACCCTAAATCTTGCAATTTCAGACAAATAATACATACCCACAAGAAAAATCAATACACTAAGAAAAATCAATACAAAAGAAAAATCAATACACTAAGAAAAATCAATACACTAAGAAAAATCAATACACAAGAAAAATCAATACACTAGAAATCCAAATAAGGTAGATTTAAGAATTTCTCAAAAAAAAAAAAATAGAAATCCAAATACCAATCCCCAAATGTATTAGTTATGAAGTCAACAAACAGAAACACACAAAGTCAAAATAAATCATAGATGAGGTTCAGACAACATTTTATAAATGTCAACTAGATCACCCAGTAATACAGTGAGAAAGATTTTGATGCTTGAAACATAAACACTAAACAAATAGCCTTAACTATTTAACCATAACACCTAATTGGATCAGTGCATCCCTTTTGAGCAGACTGCTTAAACCCTTGCCTCCCACCTTTCTCAAGGTATTGCTGATGATATTCTTCTGCCCTGTAAAAGCGCTTTGCTGGAAAAATCTCAGTCACAATTTTTGCAGTCACCTTCTGCTGATGCAATTCCTTGGACTCATAAGCACTCCTTGCTTGCTCTTCAGTGTAGTAATAGATACCTGATCTGTATTGAGTACCCACATCTCCACCCTATATACAGTGCGCAAAGATCAGAAAATCAACCTAAGTATTACAGATATCACTAGCAAATTCATGAAATGTCATTTCAGAAGGGAGAGACAAACCCAGGAAAATAAAGGAGCAAAGGCCCCAAACAGTAATTTGCTATCGAATCCCAGGAACAAACTCATAAACAATCCTTTCAAAAGGAAAAAATGAAAACCAATTTTAAAAAATAAAGTCAATTGTCGCAGAGAGAGGGAAAGCTGACAGGAGACCCATCTTCAATCACAAAGAAATTTATTAGAGATCATATCGAAAGGAAAAGGGAAGCCCTGAAAGGACAATAATCGAAGTAGCAAGAAAAGATACGTGACTTGTGGTCTGATAGACTATGACCCTTAATGGATTGGAATGGCGGTCTAGCCCACTCCAAGTAGTTCGGAGAAGGCTCCGATGATGATGATTTCAAAAGGAAAAGAGTAAACTCAACAAGAGAAAAAGGCAATACACCAATCATTAACTGATAAGAACAGAGAGAATGAATAACCAAAAATCCAAAGCCCAAAATCGCTAATTTTAAAACAAATTCCTGATAATTCTTCCAAAAAGAACAGAGAAGACCCAACAAGAAAATTGGGCAAATCCCTTTTGGAAGACCCAATAACAAAATGGGGCAAATCACTGAATGATTGATTGAGTCAAAGATAAACCTTAGATAGGGACATAAAATGGGAAAAACCCAAATCTCGATTTCGATAGAAAGAGAATGTCCAAAAAAAGCACAGGGAAAAGCCCAACATATTTTGAATACAAAAATCGAAGGATAAAACCCAACAACATTGATGTTGAAGAAAGAGAAACAAAAACAATGAAAAAAACCAACAATAAAGAAGAGAGGGAGAGAGAGAAAGAGAGAGAGAGAGAGAGAAGACCTGGCGATTCAGAGTGGTGGGGTCATGGCGAGACCAGAAGGCATCGAGAAGAGCAGTGTAGGGGCAGAGATTGGGGTCATATTGGAGCCTCACCACCTCCACATGCTTGGTGAGCGAAGTGCAAACGTCTTCATAAGAAGGGTTGTGGAGATGGCCCTGAGAATACCCAACCTCTGTCTTCACAACTCCAGGCACCCTCTGGAACGCCAATTCCACCCCCCAGAAACACCCAGCACCGAACTGAGCAAATTGGAGACGTGGGTCGTCGGGCAAATCGGTGTCAGGCACCAAGGCGTTGCTCTTCTCCCCCGCCATCTGCAACTACTACCAACCTCTTTCTCTCTCCACACGATCACATCCTCCTCTCTCTCTCTCTATATATATATATATATATATGGATGGACGATCTTGCTCGAGCTGATAAAATATATAGATTTGAACCACTGCGAATTTTCACTGTAAATTTATTTTATTTTATGTTTTTTAAATCAAATTAGAGCCTACAGTCGAAAAATGTGGTTTCACTACTAGAATTTTTTGTGAGCCTTAAAATGTATTTATATCTTTATTAATGTAAAAAATAAAAATAAAATAATATTAATAATAATAAAGCTCACAAACTTTATATACTACACAAAGGGCTTACTTTTTTTTCACTTTTTTTATCTCCAAATTACCCAAGATTTAGTCATGCGAACAAGGTTATTTTCCTTAAAGTGAGAAACAGATTTAGGCATTGGACCACTTCACTTGTACTATTTGTAAGTAGTCCAACTCAAACATTTATAATATCTGAAATCATCTCCCATTTGAAAATTCACAAGTTTACATGATCATACATAGGGCATTTGAACCTATCAAGTTGAATTTTTACAACGAGGAAATGGGTTCAGACATGGGTTCAAATACTCAAAAACCATATCCTGTTAGAAAAAAAAACTCTTTTTTTTGAGAGAAAAAAATAAAAAAATAAAAAAATAAAAAATAAAAATAAAAAAATAAAAAAAGTCCTGTTAAAAAGAAAAACTTGAGCGGGTTTAAACATTAGGCATCTGCCAATCTAATTTTGCTCCACTTGTGAATTTTTAAATTCAAGAGACATGTTTAGATATACAATGTTAGAATGAACCCGCTTACGGGAAAAGAAAAGAAAAAAACATAAAAAGGGTGAATTAAACACCGATC